CGAGCATATGCTATGTGCCCAGTTCTGTGCTAAGCTCTGGACTGACATCAAGTCATTTAGGATATTAGCATTACTCTGTTTAGCAATGAGCGAATGGAGGCACAGAGTGGTTCAGTAACTCGCCCTGGGTCACACAGCCAGGAGGATGGAGGAGCCAGGACTGAAGTGCATCTCCATGTGTTCACCAACCCGGGTTCGCCAACCCGGGAGCTCTCTGAGTCCTGTCCTTTATGGGTTTTAAGTTTTGAGTAATTCATTACACAACAATAGATAACAAAGGCACCCAGCCTGCCTTTCTCCCCCTGACTAAACACCTACTTATTCTCTAGGTCTCAGCCCAGACTCTTCCTCCTCCTGGAAGCCTTCCCTGACTTCCTGTAGAAGATACCTGCTGATGTCGCCTTCCAGAATCCTCCCCATATTTGGCAGTCCCGCCCTTCTGAATCAGTGTGCGTAGGATGAAGTTGATTGTACCAACGGCTCTAGGGGCCGGCCAATCAGCACGCTCCATTCTCTTGGAGGCCACTATTCAGGGTGGTGACCCCAAGCCAGGCCCCTGGGGGTCAGCCCAGGAGTCTTTGCTGGAAGTATCAGGAAACGGGTCATCTTTATCTGGAGTTGCCGAGCAGGAGAACGTCAGCTTGGAGCTGCAGGCAGACATTTATCCAGCACAAAGGACAAGGCTGGCTGGAGATGGAGCCGGAAGAAGGAGGACCAGCTTAGGTAGGGATGGGGAGAGAGACTCTGAAGGTGCCTGGATTCGACTGTGCTTGAAACCCATCTACCTCTGGACTTTTCACTTTTTCTGCCTGAGACAGTGTGCATTGACTTGAGACGACTTCTGTCACATTTAACTGAAAGAGTTCAGACCAATTCATCCCACGGGTAGAATTAGAGACCCCCTCCTGGCCTCCCAGACTTCTGGTGCTGCCCTTACCACTGCACTTAACACACAAAACCGCAGCCCCGCAAAGACTTGGTGCCCCAACTCTGGTTTTTGTAATGGCACCAGGCTTTTGCCCACCTCCTCCCTGCTTCTTGCAAACAAGGATGCGTCATGTTCATTTCTACAGCCAGAGGATCTGTCATAAAGAGGTGTTTGGTAAATAACTTTGAGCAAACGAATGAATGAATGAATGTACGAACCTTCTAGTTGGTCAGAAGACTTTAATAGAGCACGAAAAGAGAGTTTGGTCATAGGCCTACCTTCTGCAAGGCCCAAGTCACCCTCGAGGCCTCTCTGAGCAGACAAAGAATTATTATTTCTTAATCTCCCTTCATCCAGACCACACCCATGGAACACAACCCAGTCTTCTATTACAGAAAAACAAACCCGAGCGAGCCATTCTTCTGCTTGAAACAACTTTCAGTGACGTGTTTGACAGGAGGGGGTGAAGGGGAGTGAGCCTTTGGATCCGGGGAATATTCTACACTACAGAACGTTCCACTGTTTATGGATTCATTCAGCAAGCATTTAATTAGCACCTACTATGTGCTAGGCACTGTGCATGTTACTTCGTCTTCACAGCAAGCTTTCGGGGCCATGTATTTGTTATCTGTTGCCACATAACAGGTCGCCCCAAACTTAGGGGCTTAAAACAACAAACATTTCTTATGTCACAGGACCCAGCTACAGCTCAGCTGGATGCTTCTGGGTCAAGGTTTTCCATGAGGCTGGAGTCACCTTAGGGCTTAACGGGGGCTGAAGGGTCCATTTCCAAAATCACTCACTCGCTTGTTGTCAGACCTCAGAAGAGTCCCTTGTGAGCTCACCCTCACGGGCCTCTCCACAGGGCTACCTCACAACATGGCAGCTGGCTTGCTCAGGGCAATCGATCTAAGAGACGGTGACAATGTCCAAGGCAGAATCCACGATCTTTTTATAATATAGTCTTGGGAGCCATCACTTCTGCTATTAGAAGTGAGTCAAGAAGTCCAGCCTACACTTGAGGAAGGGGATTGCACAAGGGTATGAATACTAGGAGGTAGGCTAACTGGGGTGGTGGTTTTGGAGGCTACCTGCCACCTACCTGTGGCAGGTAAGGTATTATTATCCTTCATTTCATACACAGACACCCAGCTAGTTAAGCAATGTGTCCAAGTCACCCAGTCAGAGTATTGTCGACCGAAGTGGTTTTCCGTTTCACTTGACCAGCTCGGGGGGAGAGTTTATATTAATTACCTACTGCTGTATAACTGATCACCCACGATTTAGTGGCTTAAAATCAACATTTCTTATCCCACGTAGTTTCTAAGGGTCAGGAATTCAGAAGCAGTGCAGCCGAGGCAGTTCCTTGCCACACAGACCCCTCCATAATGGTGCTTGAGTATCTTTATGACACAGAAGCTGGCTTCCGCCAGAGCAAGTGAGTCAAGAGAGCCTAAGCAGAAGGCTCGATGCTCTTTACGACCCAGCTGCAGGAGTCATCCATTGTCATCACTGCAACGTCCTGTTGGTTACCCAGGTCAGTCCTGTTCATTGTGGGAGGTGATTGCACAAGGGCATGAGAATATGAGGAGACAAAGATCACTGGAGGCTGGCTGAGCCTATAATGGGGACCTGGCTCATGCCACATGTAGTATTTGAGCTAATTCAAGTAATCAACAAGTCTGGGCAGGTATCCTAGTCACTCATACCTGTTTCAGGTGTGAGTGTGTGAAAATCCAAAATAACAGTAACTCAAACAAGATAGATGTTTACTTCTCTCTTGCTTAGATGTCTGGGTAGGTGTTTGAAGACAGGTACTGTATAACAGTAGCAGGGACCCAGGCTCCTTCTATCTCGTTGCTCTGCTCTGCGCGGCCTTCACCACATGGTCCGGGATGGCGGCGTCCACATTCTGGGCCGATAGAGAAAGGGACACAGAGGGTAATATACTATCTCTGAAGCGCCCATAAGATGCTTCCTTTTACGTCTCAATGGCCAGAACTTAGTCGAGTGGCCATACCTAGCTGCAAGGGAAGCTGGGACATGGAACTTTCATCCTAAGCACACATATGCCCAGCCAAACACTGGGAGCTCCATCATCGTACAAAAATAACAATGATAGTGAACCCTACCTTGTGTTCGCTCTGTGCCAGGCCCTGACCTAACTCTTTAACACCCATCAACACACTTCACATCCTCACAACAGATCTATAGAGAAGATACTAGTATCGCCCTTACTTTCCAAATGAGGCACAGAAGCGAAATAAGTTAGTAAGTAAGTGGACCATGAACCCATGCGGTTTGGCTCCAGTCTGGGCTCTGTTCACATAGTCAACGGTTACAGAGAAAGAGAGAGGCGCTATTGGGAGATGTGTATATTCTCCGCCCATACAGCAGGGTGGGAGACAGAGAAAGTGCTCCAGGCAAAAGGAACAAGATGTGCAAAAGTTGCTCCTTCTCCCGTCTCCAGGAGCTAGGTCCTTCATCACAGCAATGCCTCTGCAACTCAAATGTGCTGACGAGTCTCTTGGAGAACATGCGAGATGCATACATACTTGATTTGATAGATCTGGGCTGGGGCCGAGAATCTGCCCCATGATGCTCCAGCAGCTGGCCTGTCTGTGGACCACATTTTGAGGAGGGAGGGCCTGTGGCCAGATGCCCACCACTGCGCAGGCCCAACAAACAGTCCTTTGGGCCCAGTGGCTGCTCAAGGCCGCTTCGCCCTTCCTGCTCCGAACCATAAACCTCACGAGGTCAGAGATCTGTACCCTTGAGACTTACCACAACACCTGGCACACTCCCAAGAGTGCCAGGCCCCTTGTTGAATGAGTGAATGAATGAATGAGTAAATGAAAAGGGAATGCCAGAAGTCAGAGGGAAGGAGAGGCCACTGATGAGGCCACTGATGAGGCCACGTGCATGCTCCAGGGGAAGTCTGGTTCTCGGCCACCACCACGTGCATCCCAGATCCTCCCGAGGGAACAGGTACCATCATTTCCCTCTACTTACAGAAAAAGAAACCGCCTGCAGGCCCTGCTTTTCCAACACGGGCCCCCAACTTCCTCCCCTGGGATTTTTCAAGCCCCTGGTCACCTTGGAGGTGGGGCAATAACAGAACCCGGGCAAGTTCAGAATGAGCTTCCGCTACTCGGGTCTGGTGTGTTCCCTCAGCTACCATCTCCTCTCGTCCAGGGAGATGTTGATGACTTGTGAACTTCGCAGAAGGAACCTGAGGCTCAGAGAGGTCCACAGGGGCCAAGTCGGAGCAGGTCGCACACAGCCTGTCGCTAAGACAACCTGCAGATCTTGACTGTGTTGCAAAGTGGAAGCAGAGGCAGCTACCAGGCCAACCACAAAAACTTCAGGTGCCCAAGCCCCTTCCCAGGTGCCAGGCATGGCACTAAGCCAGACTCCCCAGCTTTCTCATTTGAATCTAGGAAAAAGACCCTCTCGTCATCACCGTCTTTGTGCGGACGTGGGAAAGGGTGGGGTTCAGAGAAGCCAAACGTCTTTTCCAGAGACACAGCAGAGAAGTGGCAGGTGCACTTCACACATCTAGGGCTAACCCGATCGGCCCCCTTCTCACACCGTAGGAGGCCCTGGCTCGCAGCCCGGCTCTGCACGGCCCAATGCAGACCCGCACGGTCCAATGCAGACCGTTCCATTTAATCTGCACAACTCAAGGAATCTGTTTTACAAATGCAAAGAAACCCGGGAGACTCAGAGCGGCAGGGGGATTCGCCCGAAGCCACAGAGAGAAAGAGGGAAGGAGAGAGTGAAGGAAAACACAGTGTGGGGCTTGGGGGATCCCTGCTCCTCCAAGAGCCCCTCCCCCCAGAGGCC